ATCAATTTTGACAATGAAATAGTACATGTATATTCTGTTAAATAACGTAACATTATACATTAAATAACGTAATATTATTACTGAATATTATTTAATTGTTTCAAATATTTATGTTTCTACATTTGATTTTGTTAATTTTATATATAGTTGCTTTCAATATACATTAATTTAATATAATTCAGTAGTGATCGAAATCACTATTAGTTATAGCGGCCCTCGGGGCATAATTGATAAACAAATCGTTTTCAATGCTGGGAATCGTGCGCGGATAATTTAAATGAATCTGACAATAAACCGAGCCACGAAACTCCCAAACTCCGTAATTCGCGTGGATAACGGGCAATCAAGATGGTTGAGGAATGCAAAAAGTTAGCAGATCGATTGGTAATACTTCCCTTGAGAGCCAGTGGAATGTTTCATTATAATTGTACGACGGCTGCTATTCAAAACGGCTAAACGTAAACTACGTTACTCACAATCAATCCAATAGAACGCATTGATTATCGGCTGGAAGAAAACACACACGCACACACACACGCAATATATACATAGAGCGCGCACAGACATAATACTGAGAGTTGGGAAAACATGACAACTTCTTTTCCGAGGAAGCGAATTCCATCGGTTCTAAAGGCTAAGAATATAGCATAACTGCAAGAGTGGCTTCTAAAGGCGCGACCTGATGTCGCCGTCTGCTTCGAATGCACTGCTAATCCTCGTGCTACATCGTGACGTTCGACAGAAAGTGGAAGGAAAAAAAGAAGAAAAAGAAGAAAAGAATTCTCAAAAACGCAAGTTCAATCTGTATGTGAAGGCAGCTCGCGTCTTGGGATAGTAAAGGAATTTTATTTCGCTGCACTTTTAGAAGAAGGAAAAATCTAGATAGAAAAGTCAGTTTTTTGCATACGCGGTGTCCTGGAAGTTTGTATCACTATTATTGACATAATTCAATGATACAAAGATTCAAATTGTTATTCAAATATTTCAGACTTTTGTTTTTGATTTCTCATAACATTGGAGACGATTCGAGATTTTAATTATACTTATTGCAAATGTAGAATGCATCCGAAAATATTTGTGTTATCTGTATATATCTGAAATAGTTGTTTAATAATATATTAAATAAGTAAATGAAATATTATATAGGTGACTTTTATATAACGTAGTGTCGGAAAAAAAAAAATCACGACTCAAGTGTCAGGTTTAGATATCACATGTGTCACTTGTCGCAGTATTGTAAATCGGGAAAAATTGGAAAAAATATGTGGAGAAAATATGGAAAATATGTCAACATAGTCGTACAACTTTATTTACTTGGCAAATAACAGCGCAATCTGAATAACTGTTATCATGAAATTAATACCGTCGGCTTGTCTCGTTTATTCCAGTAACCGAACTAATCAGAATGGCAGGTAAAATCGAAACAGTTGCCCAACATTCGCAGTATATTCGCGATAACAGGTCTACGACTGTGGAAAACAGTCGGCTGGCTCGCTAATTGATACGTGTTCTAGATACCGTTACTAGGAGCATGCAAATAAGGCGAATGAGAGTGGACCATGACGCATTATGAGCGTGGGTGTGTAGTGAAGTGAACTGAAGTATAGCAATTACAACTTTATGGATCGTCCCACGGGTACGGTTGGGATGAGCGAAAGATTGCGGATACAGCGTTGACTGGCTTGAATGACACGAGTAACTTCAACTTGCATCGCTGTCGCAGCACCAACTTTGCAGATCCGTTATATACTACATGATGGAAGTTGCCCGAGGATCGTTGACCAGATCTTTCGGCTTTCATCCGACGCTGGTCTCGGCCTCGCCGAACCGAACTGATTCCACCAACCACAATCGCGGTTGCAACAATGTTGCTTCCACAGTAATCGGCACGATGGTTGCACGGTGGAAGGCGGCCACCCTCCGGTGGGTTTCAGTCGAGAGTGCGATTTATTAATTGACACGTCTGAGCATCATTGTCGACACGCCAACGAGAGAAAAAGAATCGAAGCGGAAATGTCCGGAGACATTATCTGTATGCGGGATGTAACATTAATCATCGCGCAAATGCACGAAGGACGAGAAATAGAGCTTATCACAAAGTATGCGTGTACAAACATTTATTATAGCTAATAATGCCAATCGCATTTACGATTATTTGCTCGGCTTTTTTTTCCACATTTTCAATAAATAACTCCGTTCTTTTAAAGATCCACGCGTTACGTGGAATACTTTTATCTTTCACAAAGTATACTTTACATCGTTGTTCTTTTGCTGGTGGTATCGTTGAATATACAAAAGATGTAGGTAGTAAAGGATATCAATGTCAAAAACACTCCGGATATCAAAAGCGAAATGCCGCCCGATACTGCATTCTTATCGAAATACCGTAAACTCCATTGAGTTCGCTCTTTGTACACGAGCATTTACGCATAAAAAAGCGTTTTTTTTTATCCTCTATAGATAAATGCGGGAATAGATCGCGCGTTGCTTCGATGACTTTGCTTCGTTAGGAACATTTTTTATTCGAGCGAATAAAACGAACTTACCACGCGAAGCACGTCCGAATCGATACATTTTTAATCAATTCCCGCAACGACGGAGAAGAAGGTAGCGTATAGAGAAAACGCAAATAAAAATAAAATGTACGGGGGGGGGGGGGGATAGATATATCCTCGGAAGTTGCGCCATGCCTGATGCGAATAGCAATTAGACGACGCCTGATAATTTTGCGCGATTTTGCTATATTAATTTTCTCGACCGTTTCTACACGCATCGCTAGATACACGTACGCCGAATAATTATAAACTATCATTTCTCAATGTTACTTTAACACGTTTCGTGCCGCACGGGTCACCGATAATAAATTTTTCATTTTCAGGTTGTTAATATTTCAGCTGTAAAAAGAAACGTGACTATAAAATAATTTTTGATATCGTAATTGGACATAATTATGGTTATCATAATTAGTCACATAATTATTATACATAATTTAGATATAATGTAATATTAGTACATGATATATTTGACTTCGTATAATAATTTCGTAATTTTTTTTAACATGGCATATGTATTATTTAACAAACGCAAACAAAAATATTGTGAGTCACTGATAATCCACGCATCCATGCATGAGTATACAGCACTCTCACAAATTGACGTAAACGTTCTATATCAATCGAAAAATAAATTTAAAAACAATTGAAATATAACATTTATTTTTATGACAATTTTAATATTCGGTTATTTTATGTTACCTATTTAGTTCTCCTTTAAACTCTTTATCATCTTTTCCAAGAACATACAATAAATTGAGAATACTTTATATGTAGAGTCAAGACTGATATATCAGCTCCTTTTTTCCCTTTTTTTCTTTCTCTTTTTCCCCTCCCTTCCCTTGCTACATTGAAAAAAACACTGAAAAAAATATGGACACGAGGCGCCTGTCGAAAGTTTTTGCTGTCATTTTCAATCTTAATTAAATGTCGAGAATTTCGTTATCAGATACCCGATGGAATAAAAGCGTCGATACTTTAGTTTCAGCGAGCAAAAATATGTTACCGAATGCTTTTACTGTCGATACTTTATTTCTGATGTTAGATATCGATTTCGCATAGCAGTCAAGTACAACTTCGTGAGTAAGAGATCTGTTGGTCCAGCGCACATTATATCACCCATAATGTACTTGTCTCGTCTTTGAATATTTCACGGATGAACTCGTTCCTATCGGCTTTACGTCACGACTATACGCATCGATTTTGACGCAGAGCGGCGCAGTACGTTCAATTAAAATTTAAATGCTCGCAACAATGGATGAAGTGGTCCAGTTAAATCGCATCTCTGTGTACATCGAAACATCGGATAAATATTTCCTGCTCCATATCGCCAATCCTCTCACAAGGGGATTTAACTTTTGCGAATCTCTCGCTTGTAAATTACGCAAAAGACGTCGCGAACTAGTTTGGAACGCTCGACAACCTGACACTTCATTTTAACTATTTAACATTTTCGAGAGAACTGAGGAGAGTTTCCTTTAATATTCTGTGATAAAATTCGCTGCGGAAGTAATAACTTTTGGAGCAATATTTATTCGCATTTCTCGACGAGTTAAGAATAGAAATAGATTAGGTAATTTGCAAGACGGCGCCTTACTGCGACGACGAGAAAGATTTTTTTTTTTTTTTTTTTTTTTTTACCCAACATGCGTTTTATTCACACAGATCAAGGAGCATAGCGCTGCTGCGTTACGACTATGTCACGATGTTCTTTATACGTTACACAAAATATAATCACACTTCCGGATGAAAACATTCCGACGTAAAAACGTTGCGAGCAAAGTTATGAGTTGTTGACAAGCGTTTCTGCCGATTGGAAAGGCGCGAATGCTCGACTCCACCCCAACGTTCCTTTTCCGACGTTTAATGGGAGAAGTTAAATTACGTATACTTTCGGATATTGCAGCGCCGAGTATAACGACCCGGGTGACAATGCGCCTGCGGAAGGTTTTTAAATTTCGTGCTCGCCGCCATTCGACGTTAATTATGATGTCTCTTTGTGCTCGCGCGCGAAACGGTTTTACGCGCGAAAATAAACGCAGGGGGGATCGACCTTTCGTCTAGATGACGGTAATTCCCCACAGCACACGATAATGGCTGCCGTGGTAACGGCGCATTTTTTTATTAATTGATCCATCGCGGCGTCATGGTTCCTCGATATATAGTGTTATTCCCCATGGGAGAAACGGAAAAGGCCTGGTTTGTAAGGTCATTGCCCTTCTAAGTATCGCCACACTAAACATTCTTCGAAGTTTTCACATATGCTATTTCTCATCGTATATACTTAGGTTTCAACTTTCACATACCGTGGAAACGGAGATGTTAATGAAATTCATGTAAATTCGTATAATTCAGGAAAATTGTATAATTCGACACAAAATTGAAGACAGTCTTTTGCTCATCATCAATTATTAATTTTTCATCAGATTAACGTTTTTAATTTGTGTTTTTTTTCTCGTTATTTTATAATAAAAATCGAAATTTATCAATGAGCGGAAGATTCATTTTTGCCATAAAAATATTTATATGAACCTAATCTTTCTTTTAAATAGGTTTTTTCCAAACACTTTAATATTCATTTAAAATTCATTTGAATCCATGCCCTTTTGTTCAGGATACCCAATGTCGGAGAATGTCTTTAGGGAATCGTGAATTAACGTCGAGTGATGCTGTATGTGTTCAGTATCGATCGGCGTATGCCTGTCTGTGAATGTAGATATGTGTGTGCACGAAATGTCGCGCCGGCGCTTTTATTGCCAAAAATCACGCATGAACTTCAGAAAACCGCGAGGGAATGGTCGATTAGTAGTCGGCGTGACAGGGAAACTCGTTCAACAGCCGTGCATCGCATTAGGGTGTTACAACCTCATACCGAAGCAACTTGGAGTCGTCACAGATAGTTCCGGACTGTTTAGGCTTTACTGCATGTCGCGATAAATCGGCGTGCTCGACGTGAAACCTGTTTACTCGGTAATATTCGAGGAGGGTACGATAACAAGTGTGCGTATACGTGTGTACGTATATTTACGATATCGCGAAGGATAGAGCTTGCAGTTAGGTCCAAGATCGATAGCACGGGAAATAGATTATTAATCAATTCCGTTAGGGACGCATCGCACGCAGCAAATTAACGCGCCACGTGAGGGAGAGAAAAGGATTTAATGGAGCAGGCGGAAACGGGACGATCTGCTCTTTAACCGGGTCACTTTTGTTTCCTTATCTGCTCCTGACGGGAAGAAACGATGGACATCCAATTCCCGTTATCAGGCGCGACGATTCTTTCTCTTAATACATTTTTCTTTAATCTCGCCTCTTCCCCGTTATTAGACCGATTTAATTAAGCAACGATACCGATCGCCGACATCCGCAATGAATGATAATCTTCTTGATAAACAGCTGTTCATTAATTAATTACTAAAACAGAGTGTTTTTCGCCCGGTTGCCGACTAAAATCTCCTGTCCCGCCGTTAATTATTACGCCTGGTAGTATAATACAACATCAAAATGCGAACGCATTACGTATGCCATAGGCAATTAATATTTTCGTAATAAGCGTAAGATTCTGCCTCTGTCTGATACATTCGCCACTAGCTAACTTCACGCATCGGGGGGTCCCGCTTTACTGCCGTGTATTCTTCGTGTATATATAAAAAAAAAAAGAAAGTTGTGGTTATAGCTTTTTTATGAAGTCCAGCTTCAGCGAGTGGAACGTTGAAGTACCTAAGTTATTCTTGACATTTTTATATTCTTAATGGTCATTATTAAATATTTTTGTCTTACCGCTATATAAAAATATATGAAAAAAATTATTTCAACATTAAGAGCTTAATTAGTAAATTTTGTCGGGGGAAGTTATCTTGGTGAATTAAGTGATTTTAGGAGAGAAAGACGGCGTATGTCTCATTTATAAAATTTAAAGCCCTCTAGATTTGCGCGAGAAAAAAAATTTTTTACTTTATAATTATAATAAAACGAATTCAGCGAAGAAAAAGGAAAGAGAATTGCATTTCGACGAAACGAGGCGTGTGGCCCGAAGAGGAAACAATATATTTCAATACAGTTATCTTTCTCGAAGGTGATTTTTAATTCCCGATTCTCGTGACTCTCTCGTGCCCTTCTCGACATTCCAGCCTTTCCTCCGACGTCCCATGCGACATGTATCGAATGACGCAGATGCAACGGTGCAACGATGCAATTTTTTAATTGATACGTCCACCAACGACGTATTTTCGAGCGCTACTACTAAAGCGTGGGATTAAAAGGCGGAATATGTGATGATAAAAAACCAGCTTGCAGAAAGGAGAGAAAGAGAAAGAAGGAGAATCGCTGTCTGGACATTGGGCTCCGCCCCTTCGAATTCCGATGCGAAAAAACGGAGCTTTTTTGGCGTAAGTAACAACCGATTGAATAATTATTCTGCCGGAAGCAAATTTCTTAGTTTTTGATGTACAATATAACAGAGAAAAAGAGAGAGGAAGGAGGAAGATGAAGTACTCACGTAATCTCTCTGACGTAGCTGAATAATATTTTTACTTGGAAAGAACGATTTTGTTCAAGGAACTAAAAATTTAATTAGTTATAGATATAGACGTGTGATAATAATTTTGTTGAACCATAAAAAAAATTACAATTAGGATACTCAAGCTGGTTGCTAGAATGTCAAAATATTTTGCATTACTTTTTTCTGTATTTAGCTTAATTTTTAGAGAAACTTTAGCAAAATTGTTTTTCCCGTATATTTTCTCAGTAACACTTGCTCATTAAACAGCTTCAAATTTATTAAGGTCTGTTCCCCTTTACATCGTACAAAGTTATGAACTGCGTGTGTTTTATTATTACTGCGTATAATATTATTTTATAAAAATTTTTTTACAAAAATTTTTAACTGGAAAAAGCAAAAATTTTGATAGATTTTCCAATACCTACTATTGTTTCATATTTATATTGTACACGGACATGTACGAATATGTATGAATATGTAAAAATATGTGCATCAACCTATCAGACGAGATCTCATCCGTTTTATCTCCGAGCTGCACAAATTCCGAATATTTGTAATTCTACTTTATGAATTTTCAAAAGATTAAAAAATGACTGGCATTTCAATGCCCTTAAAAGCACCGTAAAGCATTTTTGAGCCAGTCTGAACTGGTAATCTTCAATCGCTGGCGGTACTGCAATGCATATTAATATAAGACCCTATCGAATTTTGTTTTTATTGGACAGGTATCGGTTTATTCGCGTGATCATCATGATTAACGTAAATATTCTCAAAAGCAATCACTTTTTGCAAACTTAAATTTTAGATCAATTAAGCGTTTAAATACACTAAATAATCTTAAGTCGGAAAAAAAATATATACAATATCCGTATGTAACTGAGGTAGAATAATTTTATCTCTTCCCAGATGGGGTAAATTTCAGGTTCTTTGCGGTGGTAGCTTTCACCAGTGTGATGCGAAACTCATTCCGATGCTCGTCCCACACAGAGCGTGATCATAATTGAGGTGTTCAAAAGAGAGAGAGAGAGAGAGAAAGCGAATCAGAATTTAAATATGCAACACAATCTTGTGTAGCAAGACGGTTTAAGAACTGATTACAGAGCTTTGCTATATGTTAACTTTGCAACATTGTGCACTGCTCGGTATTTATCTTGTTAAAATGTGCGTTCTTTATTATAGTTCATGTCAATCTCGTGCTTCAATTTTTATTAGATGCCCAGCATGAAAATAAAATGTATCTCGTGTATCTTTTAAGTCTTGTAAAAAAATATACAAAAAAAATATATGCAAAAATAATTGGATACAGCATGAACATTGTAGATTACAATAGCTTACGTGCAAGGTTCTCTTAAATTAAAAAAATTCTTACAAATATGTAACATGACTGAACTGTCAAGTTCAATTGATTGGTAATTAATGTTGCATTCAGAGACCAGACGTTTGATTGATATATATGAAATTCGTATATATAACTGATGTAATACTATACCAAAGCTCACGGTCACGTATAACGTATGGCGTATTGAAGGCAAAATGCATATATCCTGCTGGTGACTCTCACAGAAAGGGATGAATATCCCACTGATGGCCATGTAACGCCCAGCGTGTTAATATTGAAAATTAAAAAGTGTGATAAATGACAATCCCCTATCAAATTTTTAGTCGAAAAAAATAAAGGCGAATTCTGTTTTGTAGTGAGGAATCTACGATAAAGTAAAATGCGTGCAAGCCTTATTACATTACAATACACAATATTACATGATTTATATGATAAAGTGAATTATTATGTAATATTTTATAAATTTTATAATACACTGCCAACGCGACGCGATTAAACTTGATAAAAATAAAAAAAATTCAATGAGAATAAATAAATCCTTAATCCGAGTAGTGACGGGGGTTTTAAACATTGCGACTTTTAAGGCATTTTAAGAATTATAATTAATTGCACAAGATTAATTGCTATATATTTAATTGGATAGTGCATTAAGGTTATTTGAGAATTTAATTTAATTTTCCTTTTTTCTTTTTAAAACATTTGAATCTACTTAACATTTTTTCTTTTTAAAACATTTGAATCTACTTAGCATTTTTTTCCTAAACGCTATATCTAGCGTTAAAATATACAACTTACATAATATAATCTCTACGATTAAAATGTTTAATCACTTCCATTTTTAGCGTTACTATGAGTTATGACTACATAAATTGTTTCTAGCAGCTAAAAAGCCTAGTATTTTCCTCTCTTAGCTTACTTTAAAACTTAAACTGTTTCACTATATGTACCGACGTTGAAACTCGTTCACATTACGAGTAATCTACTTTTTCTGTATTTATGAAAGGATATTCCAAAGAAATATGACAGCAGATAATCTTCATAGTTTTCTCTCAGTACCATTTTTATTCATAAATATAATTATTTGCAAGAATTTTTATTTTAAACATCATATGAGATTTTTTAAATAATTTATCTCGATGAACTTCATTTTAAGTTTCAAATTAATATTTTATTCGAATAAAATTAATTTGTGCAATCTAGACGAGGAGAAGAGCTTTATAAAGAAATGCTTAAAAAATTCTAAGAAAATGAATTATTAATTAACGATCAATTATTCATGTTAAGTAATTATATTATTAATTAATATAATCGATTATTCAAGCTTGAAATTTAATCCTTGGAAGTATTAAAAATTTAGCTAGATACAGATCTGAATATAATTTTGTTGAACTATTAAAATAATTGTGTAGAAAACTCAAACATGACAATTTGCTATTGATAAGAAGTGCTACAAAAAATTTTTACATTCTATCAACCAGTGTATATAATTTTGATAGTTAAATAAAATTATTTTCAGATTTGTATTCAGCTAAATTTTGAGATACTTCAGCAAATCCGCTCTTCTCGCATACAAAAGAAAATGCAAGAAATATGGGACACCCTATATACTATCCAACTGTGAGAATTCCCAACAATAAGAACACAAAGAGAGCCTTAATAATAAAGTTTCGGTCAAGGCTTTCCACTGCCAATTTATAACGTCCTTCTTCGGTAGTTTGTACAAAAACAATGAATTCAACACATTGTAATTGCGATGCACGTCTCGTTTGTTTCGGTACGTTGTACAAGAATGCCGTAATTGACCGTAACAAAAGCGCATCGCCTGACGACAAGGAGCCAATAGAATCACGCCATGACTGAATTATTTGTTTAACATCAAAGAGAAATGAAGAAATGAAAATTCGTATGCGATTAACGAAAATCTTTAATGAAAATAGAGATTTGTTTAAATATATAAAAACGTCTCTTCTATTTTAGCGTCTACAGATAATAACTTTAAATAATTTAAACAATAAAAATGGGATAATAATAATAATCCTGTATTAAAAGAGATATCGCTAGGCTTTGAAACATTATTAAATTTTATTTCAAAATTATCGATCTCGCATAACTTCAACGACCATTATGAAACCATGCGGTCGTCATGGCGGCTACAAGGTTGCAAGGAGGTGGGTCCCTTCAGAGATGTTGCAAGGGGGACAGGGGGGCGCGCAGATGCCTTCGGGTGTCAGTCTACGGGAACGCCGCAAGGGCGGCAAAACTTTTTGTTCCTACTTCGTTTCTATTTGGAAAAAAAGAATATCTACAACTAATCAATCTATTTTCCTTTTCCTTTTATATCGTTATTTTAATTTTGCGTTTATTTGCAATAGTTTCTTGAGTGTCTCTATTTCCAGCAAAAGTGATAATCTCGTTGTCGATTGCAACAGTAATTAATTGCCTTTGCAAATTGAAATTGAATTTCAGATTGAGAGAAACGTGAAATGTTGTTTCATTCATTAATCGAATCGATAAAAATATAAAGCCTGATCAAGTAATTCATTCGTAGTATGATAAATTGGAAAATTAATAATTAATGAAGTGGTAATTTAATTCATTACATTTGAGATATTATATTACGTTTATTTTTCTGATTAATAAGAGAGAGATTTAGATAAACGTTGTGACTAATTTGATTCCGGATACATTTATCGTATTATGTATACCGTGCATGGGAATGGGAGGGCCCCAACTACATTGTGTTGCTCCGGGGCACCATATATTCCTTATACGTCTCTGGATCCCTTTCTTCCCAGGCCAACAGTCGGTTGAAGAGCATTTGTTAGCGATGCAGAATTCAATCTCTACTTCGTGGTGAGGAACAACGGATTCGTCGTAAAGGAACTCGACGAAAAACTTGTAACGAAACGTAGATGTGCGCGGAAAAGAGAGAAGTGAATGGTCAGGGGAGAACATTGACGCGTGAGCAAAACGCTTCGAATAAAATAACGATGCTTTTCTACTAAAAGAACGGATTTCTTGCAATATCAGTGTCAGGTAAATTAAGATGAATTATATCTATGTTATGCAGCTTAATGCTATACTTACCTTATTAATATTAAACATATCGTGTCGATGCGAGAAGTACATGGGAAAGCTCTCGACAACCCGTAATCAAGATTCTTGATAATTAATTTTTTTCTCTCGGCAATTACATTTGTTTGCGGTCATAAAGAACACTGATCTGAGAGATACCAGAGAAATGTCACAAAGTTGTTTCATTAGACGAGATGCACCAATCCGTAAAATTGTTTTTCAAGCGTCATGAAACACGGTTGTGGATCGTGGTTGTTAACATTTGTACCGAGTTTTCCTCGGGCTACTGTTGTGCATGAAGTTTTCTTTGTCAGTATCAAAGCTCAAGTATCACTATGTTGTCGAGGTATCGTTGATATTTCTAGATGTGCGTACTATTGTAATATTGTCACGTCGATTCTAAATGGCTTGACAGCGAAGAGGAAAAAAGTCGCGATCACGAGGATAACAATGTAGCGCCGCTTCTGTTGTCG